GAATTTCCCCATGGAAAGGGAGCTCAGGAACTGGAACTGCCCAGGGAGGTTTGGAGAGCCCATCCCTGGAGTTCCCAAGGAATTCCTGGACACTCAGAGCTCTTGGCTGGGGACAAGGTGGGGACTGGGCACAGCCTGGACTCAGCGGTCTGGGAGGGCTTTTCCAGCCTGAATTATCCTATGATTGTCTAATAAAAATAACACATCAATTTTCAGTTCTATACTGGGAAGGGAATCCTGCTAAAATTAGTCACAGATAAACTAGACAAACAACAGAGGACACTCTTTAAACAACAAAAACATAAAGCAAAACAAACTAATCCTTGCTTTAGAAGCAGCTGTGCAAATACAACCCTTAAAAATAATCCACTTAAAAATGCTGTAAGAATTGGAAGTGCAGTGATGGATTTCATCATCTACTGTTGTCTGCAGGGAACTCACCTTCAAACTGCCAAAGTGCTGCTGACTCAGTCTCCTCCTTGGCAAGAACCTAAGGCAGGGCTGCAGGGACAGAGTTAACAGGGGTGTGCAGGATGAGCACAAGCTCACCCAACCCCAGACTTGGGAGGCAACGAGGGGAAAGAAAGAGAAAAAAAAAATTGTCTAGAATTTCTTGTGCAAATAATTTGGTTTTAAAAAGCTTTGCCCCAGGCTGTAAAGCCAAAGCCCTGTGACTGCATTGTGGGGCAGACATTGGGAGCTGCTCTGTGTCAGCTCTTCTTGAAGCATCCTAGGAAGGGAAAAACTTCTTGGCTCTCACTGCTGTACAGAGAGTGAGCCAGACTCTTCACCACTGCTGAGAGCAAGGCAACTTGAACATGGCAATATTAAAAGAAAAAACCAAAACCACAAACAAAACCAAAAAAACCCCACTGAATGCTCCCCTCCCAGGCTTCACTATGAATTTTAAAATAGGAGGTTTGGAGAAGCTTTGGCAGCAGGCAGAGATTAAGTAAATAATCACTGTGTGGGAACACAAGCTTTCCAATTTACCAAGTGCACTGTGGAGCTAAAGAGATCCCATACAGAGAAGCAATACAAATTAATTCAATAATGAGATGTTTTACTATTTACTTGGCTTATTTAATTGAGTAGGGGAGGAATCTTTAATATCAGGTTCAAGGCTTTTGAAGAAGGTATCAGTGCGACAAAAGGAAGCGAAGGAACCAAAACAAAGAGTGTTTGTTCTTGGTCAGTTTTTGCTTTGTTTTGCTTTTAAAGACAGCTCCTTGTGGCTGCAAACTCCTCAATATCAAATTTAGTCAAATTTAAAACTAGGAAGAACCCCCTACACCCACCACACTTGCACAGATTTTCAGTCTGCCTTTGCAGCTGCAAGACCTTCCATTTCTGAGAAAAAATTGTGCAAAACCATCCAAACAGTCCCCACCACTACTGGAAAGGACTTGGCACAATGCTGGATTATTAAGGCAAAAATTGCATGGAAGTTCTTAGACTAAAGATGTCAATAAAATATTTCGAGTTTGCATTAATAATTTCAGAATGTATAGTCTGAAGCTTCCTGTTCATGTAGTAAAACTTAATCCATTTCTAAACATTTCTGATTGAAGCAGTCTGAGTAAGAGGTTAAAACATGCAGGAGTGAAGTGATTACTGCCTCTCCCTAAGGCAGTCATTAAGTTCAGGATCAGTTAGCAACTGTGGTGGAGATTTTTATCTAGAAAAAGAGGTAAATAAAGTCACTGCAAAACTTTGTGAAACCACAATATCAAACGTGACAGAGCAACTGTTGAGTCAAACAAAAAGCAGAGCAGAAAACAACTATATGGAGGTAAAGTCTTTTTTTCCTGCAGTAGGAATAGAAAGACAATTCATTTTCTACACAGACTATATGGCCAGCAGAGTGGCTTTGAAAATGAAGAATACTTTGTCCTCTCTCAACACCTTACCCAGGAAAAACCATCAGAAACACACTGACCTGATATTCTGACCTTCAGAGCATATTTCAACTTCAGTTCTATTTTTAAATTAATTGCTGGGAAAAGACATGAGTCACAGCCCTGCTTGGATCCCCCTGCACTGGACACTCACCAAGGGCTGTGTTCATTCTGAACTTTCCCAAGTCAGAGCAGGCTCCTGCTTTAGGACCTGAGTGTGAAGAACAAGGTTCAGCTCCCTCAGCCACCCAGGAATCCTGGCCTCTGTGTCCATTTTGATCTTCCCAGTTTTGGCACAGATGTTTGTTGCACACATCAGGAAGCTCTGGGATGCTGCAAAGTGTTTCTGCCAGGAAGAGATGCCAGCTCAGCTGCCCATGGGCACCTTCCTTGTGCTCAGGCTGCAGTGTTGACTCCCACCTGCCGACAGTGAAGGTCAACAAAATCTAAAGAGAAGCCTCAGGGAAGCACAGCTGAGAAATACAGGCTTTGCACTTACAGGTACAGCTGGAATTTGGAGGGTCCCACAGTCAGGGACCTGGAGAAACTCCCTGTTCCAGCACTTGGAAAAGGGGAAATGAGCAAGCAATGAGGAACACATCATACATGTGCTGATGGAGGTCAGCAGCCTGTGTGGTTCAGCTTTGTGCCCTCCCCAAACCGAGTTTAGGAGCAGCCAAATGATTATGTACGCAGTCACATTTTGGATTTTTTGATTTCCCCTTCTTCCTGTGTCATCCAGCTCATTCCCTCTGGAGCAGGAGGCTGTTCCACACTCCCCTGGCACTGTGGATGTCAGAGGCAGTGAGGCCCCTGCTGCTGACTCACCTACACAAACCCTCAGCAGTTTGATTGGGTCCAGGCTCTTCGTTACAAAGAAGCCTTTTAAGACATCAGAAATAAATCATCTGCCTGGTTGCCTTTAATGAAAGCTCTGCTACACAGGAAAAAGGGGGAGGGAACATGAAACAATATCCATGGTGGAACAGCCAAGCCAGAAAAGAGGGATGTCTGAAGAACAGAATGAAAGACTTGAGAATTAAGTCAAGAAGAGAAACAATAAAGTATGGAAATGGAGCAGGAAGGTATAAACAGGAAAGTTACAAATGGAATGAAAGGCTGAACTGACTTTTTTTTGGTGAAAGAACAACCACACCTCATTAGGACAAAGAGGCAGTAACATATTCCCATGTCCCAACTTCCCGTGCAACAATCCCCGGTTATTTTAGTGGATTACAGCTGTAAGAGTAGAAGAAATCATTTCCACACAACTGGTGGGGACTTCAAAAGCAGCTAACAAGGCTGAAATCAATCTCTCTTCTCTTAAAAGTTTTACATAGCAAAGCTCTGTAACAACTGCCCCAAGTACTCTCTTAACAATGGTGAGGAGTTCACAACGAGCTGCTCAGGGCTATGATTCATTCGTGGCTCTCTGCCAGAAAAATAAATACATTCAAGACCAGTGGCCCCAAGGGGAAAGGTAGACTACTCTTAAAAAGCACAAGATGAATGATTTACAGAGCAGAATCCAGTTTTCGGCCCATATGGATGAGGAGGAAGGACTTTTTTACATCTCCCAAAGATTTAGTGCACAGACTTCGATACTGGCAGTGCATCAACAGATGGAGGGAACTGGGAACTATCGAGCTGGGATTTGCAAAACTCACTCCAAAGAGCAAGAAATGACTTCTTATATTGCTGTGCACAGAGTTCATAAAGCCAAACCAAGCCTTGCAGTGGGTATCCAGCAACACAAGACAAACACAGCCGGCTCGGGTTACAGGAAGTGCAGTAAAGTCCCACCTGTGCAGGGACAGAGGGATCCTCTGGCAGAGTGACAGTGACAAACAGCTCAGAGCTGGGCAGGGCCTGACTCCACACGGCATCTGCTGCACATAAAAAGAGTTAATTAGCTGCTAAACAGCCAGCAGTACTTCACTTTTTTTCCTTTCTCCCCACAAGAACATTATTTCTGGGATAAATGCTCAGGCAGCAGGGTGCAGGATGGAGCCTGGGCTTTCACTGTGGGAGTGAGGCCAGCTCATCTCACACCAGCCTGATTTGTCACTGCCCTCTAATGTTCTGAAGCACCATTTCAGCAGCCAGCACCTTCAGAAACATCAAAGCCCACTCTAAGTGTGGCTTTAACATTCAGAACATTAATGGTATTGCTAAGGGCTTTTAAAGGAAAGCTGCTTTGAAATGCTAGCAACTGCATTTCATCATTTAAAAATTTCCAGATTTACCTGGAAGTGGCTTAAATTCAGTAGTTCCACTTTTTATAATATAAACTTTTCAAACTGGGGACTTTGGCCTCTTATGAATATGGCCAGAGAATGCCAGGGCCATAGAACATTCTTTGCCCCATAAAAAGGTTGTACCACCACAAAAGGACATTTGAGGGGATTTGTTTCACACATTCTATCACCAATGGATAATGCAAAGTGTGAGGAACCTGCCTCTGACCTTTGAAAGTTTCCCAGTTATTTTATTTCCTATTTCACAGCAACTATTTCCTGAGTCTGGATTAAAATTTCAAACTCAAATATTTAAAAAGAATCAATATTTAGAAGTTTTCCGTGATTAAAGCAAGTATGAGTCCTGTTACATACAATGTATTTTCTGCTGTCTTTCTTAAATTTATGCTCTGAACTTCTTCCTGGAAACAATTAACAGACAATTTCACTGCAATAATTTATTTTTTTGAAGTGAGATATCTAAATCAAATGTTGCTTGAGAGATGGCCCTGATGATCACATAATACACAAGGAAAAAACCCAAACATGCTGATCAGGAAAGATAGATTTTATTTCCTTTTTTTACCATTCAATTATTTTTACCATTGACAGTCTCACAAGGAAAATGAAACCTTACCTGAGTTTATTTCTATTAAGAAAAATTTCCCAAATTAGCAAACCCACCTGAGTCAGTGTGAAAAATATTCTATTTACAAAAGATCCTCCCAGTTTATTGCACCAGACATGGATACTGCCAGCAATGCCCATTCCTTCATGGCATGATTAATGCAACAAGTCATGTAAAACTCCAATTCTCTTTAGTTTAGCTCATTTAAAGGGAGTTCAAGTTTCATCTTTGTGGGCATCTTTCTTTAAGGGGAAAAAAAAGATAATCAAAGAATTAACCAACCTGTGCTTTTGTTCATAATATTCCAAATTTTCAAGTATTTTGATGAAATCTGCCAAACAACAAATATTGCATAAGTCTGCCCAAAGAGATCCATGGAATTCTGATTTTCCTTCCAACTGTGCTCTTGTGACAATGCCCATGAATCGGGCACTTTCATCTCAGCCTCATGAGAGGAACACACAACATTATTATTAAACATCCTTATTTATTAATATTATTAAATATCATTATTAAAGCATGTGTCACCTGCCAAGCTGCTCTTTTCCTTCTCCCACACTGTGGCAGTTTTTGGGATTCAAGATGTCACAGGGAGCATCCTCAGAGGAATTCCAAGGATGAACCTGTCAGGGCAGCAGTGTCGGGGGGCAGTTTCATAGCTACTGAAAACTCAATGGATTCTCCAGTTCTGGAAATCCCTCAAAGAACTAAATTTGGGATATTGATCATTTTGAGACTCTGAGGGTACTTTGGGAAGTAAAGCTACCACCACAAAGAAAATGAGTCACTTTGGGTTTTAATCCATCTGTGCAATCAATCTTTTATACTTGGGGTTCTTCAAAATACACAGGAAAATTCATTTCAGTATTTACAGAGTATAATTCCTTCGCCCTATTGCCAACAAACCTCCCATTTAAAAAGTTTCTATTTCATTAAGAAAATTGGGCATGTAAATCATCAGAACAGACTTCTTAAATACACTGTAATCTTCTCAAGTATGCACAGTCACATCTGCAAAGCATTTAGAGAAAAAGTACCATTTATTTACCCATACACAGTATGTACAGACTCAAGATGGCTTCTTTAACCCTCCTTTTGCCATCTTATATAATTTCTTCAAACTGTAGGTCACAGATTTCTTTGCCCCTAAAAAAGAAGAAAAAAAGAGAGAAAATATCAACATTTAGGAAGGCTGACTCAGGCAGAAGGTGCTTAGTGCATCAAATGAAGGATTTCCCTGGGAGAATGACAGCCTAATCCAGCAGGCAGACATGCAAATAACCTTCCTGTCACAGGCAGAACACAGTAAATAATGCCACCAAAAATATTTTTAATGTCATCAAAGTAGAGCAAATAGAGCAGAATTCTGGTAAATACCATGCCATGGCATAAAATACAGGCAGATATCTCAGTTTTCAGAGGTCCAGCAGCAGTTGTTGCCTCCAAGCATTTATGAGTTTTAGATATGACTGGACTGAGGATGACTCCCACAAAATTTGTAAAATGTATCCTTGGAGTTAAACAATTTCTGAAGTTCTAGCAGAGATGAGCCTTCTCTTACAGACCTAGAATAAAAAACCACGTCCTTTTGCTGGGTTTAGTCACAGAGTATTTGTAAATTTAAAATTAAAACACTGTTAGTCTTGGCATTTCAGGGGGTTCGGAGATCCCAGCCAGTGCAGCTACTTGCTTTTCCGTTTTTGTTTAAAAAAATCACCCCAAACCAAACAAATAAACGCAAAACAACGCACAGAGTGACTGCTCAGATTACAGCACAGCCTAACACACCCTTACAAATTCAGAACTGAAAAGCCACGTTTCAGTGCTGCACAAAAAGCTCTAATTTTGACACATGCACAGATTAAAGGTGTACTAGATTATATTTACTACAATGTTTCCTATGTTTATTTAATTGAACACCTGACAAGACTGACTAAAAACACACAAGGAATTTAGCCAAAAGTCACGCAACATCACAGCCCAGAACAAAGGAAAGACTTGCAACAAACAAGGAATGACAACCCAAGTTTAGCCATGTGCTGCACTGGATTTCTTTAATTTTTTGGGGGTGAGTGGGAGGGGCATAATAATATTTGATTGTGAAAGACCTCAAAAAAAAAAAAAAAAAAGGAAAGAGAAAGAAAGAAATCCATTAAAGATACAATATTGTAAGTGATAGATGCATTCAAATTCAAGTTGCAAGAAGACAAATTAGTTGGCAGCAAGAAGGAAAAGTGAAATCCCTCATTTCCAAAGGAATGTGGCAGAGGAAGAAGCCTCTGATAACAAACAGACTGCAAAGAATCAGTTCTGCACTTCTCACGTCTCCAACTGCAATTTAAATAAACTCAACTTCACCTTGGGTAGGAAAACATCCATACACGTATTGTGAACTGACAAACTCATTCTGCATCCCATATGTAGGCTCCAACTTTTCCATATTTACTGGGTTTTGCAAAAGAAAGCACACTAATGAAGCCATGACAGGCTTTTCTTTGCAGCATCTCAAATAACAGATAAATAACCATGTAAATCATTAAGTGCCTGACAAATCTGCATGGATATTGCACACAAAGCAACAATTCCTGCAGCAGCACAAAGCCAGGCTGAGCTCTGGCACAGCACAAATGAAAGAAATTAACATTGTCTAAGTGGCTCTGGAAATGCCCAAGCTGTAGGATGCAGCCCCTCTGAGAGAGGAACTGCTGCTCTGTCATTCCAGTGAATTCCAGGTTCTTCTGGAAGTGCAGTGTGTGGCAAACCCACTGCAGCACAGCTGCTGCAGGACTGCAGGGAATGGTGCAGGCACTGGAGCCTGCAGGGACACTGCTGCTCTCAGCCTGCAGGAAATGGTGCAGGCACTGCAGCCTTCAGGGACACTGCTGCTCTCCAGCCTGCAGGGAATGGTGCAGGGAATAGACACTGCTGCTCTCAGCCTGCAGGGAGATAGATTCCTGCTCTGAGCTGCAGGGACACGGATCGCTGCTCTCAGCCTGCAGGGACAGTTGCCCTCAGCCTGCCCACCTGCCCAGCAGCAGATCCTTGCCGTCCCTCTGAGCTCAAGGAAGGAGCCCAGCACAGGTTTGTCCATCCAGCTCAGCTGCTTCCCCCAAAGCAGCCCTCGGGCTGATGAATCACAGCTGCAGGAAAAGTTAATGGCTGTAATTACGGCTCTCTCTCAGAATCTGAAGCACTTGGACCACATGAAAATGTCTTTTACTTCAGCTCTGAAGCTGTGACTCGTGGTTCCACCTCCCCGTTAGATTTTTCCACTGTAGGACACAGAACAAAGCCCTGATGCACATGGGACCGAGCCCACAGCGTTTGTGTGAACACAACCCGTGTCTGGTTTCACTTAACAATCCATGCTGAGTTTTTTGCAAGTGTTGGTACTGTAAGATGGGGTTTGGCTGGGAGTCCCTCAGAGTGTCCTGCTAGGTTTGCCTGGCTGCAGTGTCCTGGATTCCCTCAGGATGGATGGATGCACTGTTGGACAGCTGATATGTGGAACAAACATATATTTGTAGTGTGGCATGCACAGATATATGCATATTTACAGATATTTATAGTGAAGCCAGCAGTTATCTGCTCAGGCAGCTGATGAAGAGAGTAGTTATCACAAAACCTGAATATTTTATATGTAAACATGCTCCTTAAAAAAAAAAAAAATCCTTGAAAACAAATGCTATTCGGCACATTTGTCCTAACTTAAAAGTATCTTGAACAAATGAAACCTACTCCTTAAAAAAAAAAAAAATCCTTGAATCCTTGAAAACAAATGCTATTCATAACATTTGTGCTAACTTAAAAGTATCTTGGACAAATGCTTCAATTGATGATTTATGCTGTAAGACTGTATTTATAGAAAATTTTTCAAAGCTTGCAGCATTCCTTGAGTAAAATATAAAGAAGAAAGAAGCTAAAGAAGTATCAACATCTCCTTCAGAGGAGCTAAATATAAGAGTTGCAGTGAGTTCCCAAAGCCCAGGCAGGCTCTGGCTATGTGGGAAAACAAATCAAAGCCTGGTGCCATCTCTAATGGGAAACAGAGAGGCAACCTCACCACAGCCTCAAAGAAATACACAGGCACATTTTCAGAAACTAAATAGGGCATTTAACAACAAACAAAAACACAGAGCTGGGGCTCCACTTGAAAACCACACTGGCAGAGAAAGATGAGAAAAGTTCTCTTAAATGGGTTGAAATTCCTTCTTGTGCTCCTTGCCAGTAATGTTCATACCCAGCATGGCATCTGAGCACAGCTATTGCTGATTTACCATTGGATTTAGAAATGCTGGACATTGCACTGCCATGCTGTGGCCCAGAGCAGGCATCTCACCTTTGCTGGTGTTCTTAAGATAAAATAATCAGCTAAAGAAAACAGATTGTGTCCCCTAGAACACTTCAAAAAGAGTCATGGCCAGCTAATGAAAACGTTCCTTTGCAAGCAAAGTATTTGTACAGTTATTAGAAACAGCAATAAAAAGTCAAAGCTTAATGGAGCCACAGATTTCATGATTCTATTTCATAAGTCTTTTATTTTAAGCTACTGTTCCCACCATAAGCACTGCAGAATGTCAGAGCCTTATATTTTTCCTAAAGTCTTTACTAGAAAGTGCGAAAAGAGGTCTTAGGGGAATGGAATATTAGACAAGATTTGGAAAAAGAATAAAGAAAGAAATGCAGCATCCTTAGGGACTGAATTTAAAGCTCCACGCTTTCCTGTAAAACACATTCCTTGCCTGAGTCAAGCAAATATTTCCATGCAGGAGCCACATTCCTGTTTTCTCTGTGTAAATTCTGTATCCTATGAACATGGGGAGTCCCAAGAGCTGGCCCAGCCAGGAATGCTGCCCCAGTGATGCATTTGAAATTAAGAAACCATGACTGGGAGAAAATCTTCAAAAAGATACTGACAGGTTTAATACAAACTCAGTCATAAGTGTTTGGAGACAACTATTAAAAACAAAACAAAAAAAAGGGCAAAAGGTTTTTGCTAATTAACTCTAAAGCTATGGACACCCATCCCTCCTCAATTCCAGGGCAGATCACACGAACTTCATACCTCAAAAATACTGAGGTGACATCCCTGAGCAGGTACATTTCACTCCTGAATTCTGTCACTAATGGTTTTCACCAGATTCTGGCAGACAAGTGTAAATTAAAAAACCCCAAACAAACAAAAAAACAAACAAACAAACAAAAAAAACCCACAGAGTGCCAGTGCCAGGAGAGAACCCAATCAGTATTAAAAATCATGCAAAAGGTATGAAAATCCACTCCCCCAAGCCTCCTTGTTCAAGTTTGGCTTGTGCTGGAGGCAAAGGCCCAAAGTTGCTTTGCTCTACCTAAACCAAATCACAAAAATATGTTTTCACCACAAAAACCACTCGTAGAAAATAGTTTTTAAATACAACTCTATATAACTGATTAGAAGGAAACTACAATTTGTTTGAAAGAGAAAAAAGCCCACTATATATAAAGCAAAAAGCAGTTAAAACCAAGGGAAAGGGAGATATTTCCCAAATAACTGATTTCAGGTGCATGAAGCAGAATGATAAAGAATTATGATAAAAAAGATAACAAAATGATGATAAAATGATAATATAAGGATAAAAAATGAAGATAGAAATTCCAAGTGTTACTCAAAGATCCATGAGGACCCCCCCAGAGTGCCAGTGCCAGGAGAGGCTGTCAGTGACTGACTGCATGACACACAAGGGGAGCTAATGAGCCTCAGAGGTGATTTATAATCCCCACAGCTCAACCATTTCTGTTCCACTCCTGCACTTACCCAGCTCTGCCCCACAGGACACCCTGAATTCAAGGGAATAACTTGAATTCAAGGGAATAACACTGTTTTTAGCCCCTCCCTTACAATTATTTTGCTCCACAAAATCTCCTCTGCACAGCTCCAGAAACAGATAAAATAAAAGCTGATGTTGTTTGGTTTGTTGATTTAAGAGTCACACAGACTCCAGGCCCTTTCAGCATTTTATAATTTTGCAAGAAATCCTCCGCTTTAAATGTTGCTTTTATTTTCCAGGGACTTTGAGTGAAACACATGAAAAGTTTATTCTTTAAACTCCTGTAACAAGACAGTCTTGGGCCCCTGTCATTTTTGCCGTGTGAAATCAGCAGGCCCACACTGATAGGAACCCCACACATTCTTACCAGCTGTCAGGATGGTTTTAGCACTCTGCACTATACTGGAGGATCTCACAATTCCTGAAATGCCTGCAGAGGGAAAAGCACACAGATGTTACCCATCCAGCACTTGTGTGGGGATTCTTTTCCCCTCCACCATGCACAAGTTAAATATTGTTCCAGTTATACAATCAGGCCAGCCTGAAAGTAAAACACACACTGAGAAAACTTGGGTTTGCTCTGCTTTTTCATACTAATTAAAAGTGTTCTCTGAACTATTTTGAATTATTTTATAGGTAATATACAGAAAAAAAACCCAATCAGTATTAAAACAGACAACAAGCAGTAGGAATTGATCAAATCCATTAATTTATTGTTCCCATTAGCTCTCTACTAAGATGATTAACCACAAAGGATTCAGAGTTGTTTCATCTAAGTGCTGGTAAATTAACATTCTAGAGCAGAACAAACAACACTCCCTGTTTACTTCAACATGAAGTTGGGATTTGGCATTTCTCTGATCAAGCACAGACATCTCTATTGTGCAGCTCTTCCCTGGCTTTCCTAAATTACAGCTTTTGGAGATAAGGCTTGTTTACCACTTTGCACTGTGGCACATTCAGCTGTCATTGTCCAGGGGTTCTTAACAGAACAGTTTAAAAAAATCTTAATTTTTTTTCAGAACTATGAAGTTATATTTGTTCTAACACATATAAAAGCATACTGATATGTACAAAACTACTTACATCACTAAATAATTGAAAGAAACGTAGAGCTGCAGCAGTCTCAGAGCTGACCTTCCAAACTGACACATTCTGCATCGACCCACAGAATATAATTTCAAATATTTTTAAATACTGCTTCCATATTGAACAACAAAGCATAACCCATGTGTAAGTTAGGATACAAAATTCCCCTGGACAATCATTTGAGGGGTAGGAATAGGGAAGGGAAAGGAACAAATTGTGTTGATGTACCTAAATATCTTGGGACAGTGCAATTCAGCTTGAGTAATCAGCCCTGTCTTGTAGGATTCCCAAATGGCTTAACCTGGCCTTTACCCAGATTGATGAATTAGGAAAATGCTTTGGTCACAAAAGTAAAAGAATATCTTGATGTGTTCTCCTAAGAGTTTAAAGTGCAGGGCCTGAGAAGATGAGTCCAGTTTGCTGCTGCATTGCTGCTCCCTGTGCAGCCACAGCTACAGGAATACAACCACAGCACCATCAGAGCTCTGTGTGCAGCTCAAACACTGCTCCCTGACCTTGCTTTTAGCCCTTTACTGCTTCAGCCCAACCCAAGAAAGAAGCTGAACGTCTCCATGTCCAGGTGCAGCTCATCCCATGCTGTCCATGGAGAACTGAAGCACCCAGGAGCTTTATTTCCCCCAGAGGAATCAGGCTGAGAGCTCCCTCAGCTCCCTGGTTAGTGTCTAGTGGCTCCCAGGTTTCTTGGGAATTTTTGCTGTGCTCAGGGAGCTTGTAAAATTTGCTACCTGGAACAGAAAATGTGCCAGGTTCTTCAAATGCATAGAGGACCCCAAGTACTAAACTTTTTTCATTTTCCTGCAGTGTAGCAGAACATTGGTGTCTGCAGCATCAGCTTTAACTTGCTCATATGACATAATGGTGCCTCAGAGCAATTGTGCTGATGAGAAGCACCTCAGCCTTCCCCTCCGAGCTGGAGCGCTCTGCCAGGGCTCACATGTCTGGGCTAACCACGTGATGACTGCCAAGGGAAATGTCAGCAAGTCAGAAAATTACCTCAGCCTTCCAATCTCTGACTGGGAGGATATAAAGCTCAGTATTTTGATGAATTTTTGCCTGAAGATGGAAGCAAGAGTTAGGTGATCTAAGCAGGCCACACTATTATTCCTTAAGTTCTGCCTCTTTCAGGATCCAAACCAAAACACATCTTTCTGTATCACTAGGAATGCCATTGACAAGATTTCAGATAACCTGTCTGCAATCAAATCCAAACCCAGGCTTTCAGGAATGTATTTCATAATTAATCTCCTGGACTTTTTCACCCTTCTCTTTAACCCACCTGAAACAGGAGAACATACACAGCAGATTTGTGTGTCTATCATGTCTTAAAGTAGATTACAGACACTGGTCCAGACCTACCTTGATGCACCAGAAATCCACAGTCAGGGTCATGGGCAACTTGCAGTAAAATTTCTTCCACGTCTCTGTTCTTTCCAGGAGGGTTTACCAGAGCAGTTATCTTTTGTTGCAGAGTCTTTGGCAAAGCCATAAGTTGTGTAAACTGACCTTCTGGACTTTTATCAATCTGAATGTTATAAAAGTAAGACATTAAAAACACTGAGTTCTCTTTTTTTTTTTAAGAAGTCAGAAAATTGACCTCTGATAAATATCTCATAGAACCTGATCCATTTCACTGGAAAAGGTCCTTGACAATGCTAATAAAAACTTCCCAAGAACAGGGAAATGCAGCATCTCAGTTTTCAACTTGAAGAATGACTCAGTGCAAGGGTTTTTACTCAAAGGAAGACACACATGATCTTGCTGTGTCTGCAAGTAAATTTTCATTGAAACTGTATCATTTCTGTTGAATCCAATTTCCTTTGGAAACATACATACAGGACAATAAAAAACAGCTCCCTGAAGACCCCTCAGCTGAGTTTCTTCTGCCTGAATATAATCAAACTGCAGACACACACACTCTTCAAGTTTAGCCTGAAAACCGTTTTCTCTGCTTAAAACTCCAAACCACATCTGGTTTGTATAATTTGAAGAAAACATTCATCCCACATTTTGCAATCTAAATCAGAAATCCAACGAGCCTTTTTTGAATACAATGATACCAACATGCAGGCCTGGACAGATTTCTCCAAAATGCAGTGCACGATGGGGCAGAGCTCTCCAGAAGAGGAGGAAAATCTGAAGAACTCCATTCCTCCCACACAAGGTTTTAGCCACTTCATGGAGACATCAGACAGGAGTCTGGTTGCCCTCTCCACTCCCTTTTGTCAGTGTGGAGAAAATGATCTCCAGATGAGTCAGCCACAACTCCAGAGGCACCAGAGCGAGCAGCTCTGAGCTCTGTGTGGGAGGAATCCGTGCCTCAACCAGAGCTCAGAGCTGGGCTCTGCCTCCCCTGGCTCTGAGGGACCTCTGAAGAAGGAATCTTCTCTCTAGCTCTGCATCTCCTGGAGAAGGGGCTTCCATTCTCTTAACTGCACCCCCAACAGCACTCAGCTACCTCAGGCGGGGCAGTAACTGCCAATAACCACAGGAAGGTGTGAGCAATAATGTATTAAACACTTGGTTGATTAAATGCCCTCATTTTGCTGTTGATTTGAAGCGGTCTTGATGACTGTTATGGGATTGTGGAGAGATTTATTATCCAGCAATAAATTTGCAGTATGCTACCAGGATTTGTTTATAGCAATTTTTTCTTAAAGGAAGCATTACCAATTCTTTCCCAAATTCATTTAAATATTGCTTGCACCAAACTGTTCACAAGCAATAAGAAAACATGGAGAACAGCTGCAGGATAATAAAACACAGGTTTGCCTGTGTTTTATCCCAAAGCATTGCAATGGAACTGTTTACTGTACTCAAGCCTGCAGTTAAATGTATTTCTAACAAAGACACATCCCAAAAGGTGGCATTTAGGAGATAATTACCATGGCTTGAGGATAAAGAGATGCACACATCCATGAGACAAGTGGTGCTATTTGTGACTTCACCATGAAGTTTATATCACACTTGAATATTCACACAGGGACATGCAGATTACAGAAGGGAAAATTGCTACTGACTGTGGCATCTCTCCCCTAACTGCAATGTTACTCCAGAAAGATGGAATTCAAGACACTAGTCACTCTGTATTTCCCAAAAAAATAAGGAAAAAAGATTTTGTATGGGTATTATTATGCCAGAATATCACTTGGATTTAGTCAGGTGACCTTCACAGCTAGAACTCGAGAGGTTTTTCATGAGATGCAGTTTTTGATTGCAGAAAGTTGCACCTCTGAGTTACAGCCTCATCCCTTTAACACAAACCATCTGCTTATTCCTCACTTCCTAGCCTGTCATTTCCATGTGGAAGCCATTAGAACACACGTTTTACAGTGATCTGCTCTGGTTCCCTTGCTGGGGTCTATTCTGTGCTCATATTCAGAGAAAATGAGCAGTAGTTCCTCCATATGAAAAACCTGGCATTTAAGGCGAGTCTGCTGGTTGCAGAATTAACTAAACAACAGAAACACAACAAACAGCAAGCAGAGAGACTACAACTGCTCTCCTGGTGCATGGCATAATTCCTGCCTTCTGTCAGTGATGAAGCACTTGCGTGTTTTAAAGCTGTTTAGAAGGAGAACACTTGCCTCGAGCCTTCCCAGATGGTGCTTGTACACCACTTGAGGGCAGTCCTGGAGTATGGTACTGTACAGCTTCTGGAAATGGGCAACGTTGGGCTTCACTATGTTCTGCACTTTGAATTTGTCTTCTCCTATTATCATTCTGAAATCACCTAGGTAGGAAAAGAGAGAGTTAAGCCATTAGGAAAACCCCAAAAACATGAAGGAGAATGTAATAGAAATCAACACAGTACAGAGCTGCCATCTAAATCTCTATTCTCCAATATTATGTATGCCAATATAATCCACAATAATAATTTTTTAAGAGTCAAAAAGCTATTCAAACACCTTCAAGCACAGAAAAAACATCCTCGAAGGCACATATTGTTATGTGGCCTCTGATACAATGACATCAGCCTAGTATCCACATCTTCACTTGGAAACAAAATAATTCCAGCTGTCAAGTAGCAGTACCAGTTACAGTCTCTGCACCATACCTCAGACTCAACAATTACTAAACAAACTGCCCAGTCCTCATACTCTGTATCCACAAGCAGATGAGCTTAAATTTTCCAGTTTGAGAGGTAATAATTTGCATTGCTTCTGCACTCCAAGGGCAGTACCTGGAGTTCGGCTAATGGCAGCCATGGTAAGATCACTGGATCACTTTTCCTCTTAGCCATGTATTGTGCTAGTAGTTTCAAAAAGCAATTCCTTTTAACTCCACTGTTACATTACTGGCCTTTACACTTTCTTTTCAGATACATGACTGGGAAGTTTCAAAGAGAATACATGAAAAGGCAGGCAGTCTGTATGAAAGCACTCCACTACCTCTGTTAGGTACCAGTCTGGCTGCTTGCTGGGTTTCCAGCCAGGAGTTGGATGCTCAGTGTAGCTTGCACCAACAACCAAAATTCTGAATCAATTCCTTTTCCCACTTCCCACATTCAGGAGATAAATGTTGTTGAAAGGTGCCAACTTGCTAGCCTTCCTTAGTTTATTTCAGTTTATGCCAAGCCACAAAACAAACACTTCACATATAAATGGTACTGACTCAGTGCTCTCAAAAAATGCAGGAAAAAATAAAGGATAAACATTTTCTAAATTAAAGCATTAACAACTCTTTTCAGCAGTCTCCAAGGAGACTGATTAGAGTAACACATAAAATCAATTTTGTCTACTAGTACAGCCTCTGAAAGACTTAACGAAATGGCAGCAAAATAAATATCCACAAGCAGCCTTTTTTCTTGTATATTCCCAGCTGGGAGCTGTGTTGCTTCAGCTTTGCTCACGCAGCACAGCCAGTCTCAGCATTTTACTGATTTTTGTTTAATTGCACTGTTTCAAAGAGTATACAAAAAGCATCTTGGTCACTAGTGCCCAGCAAGAATCCAGTGCCAGTGCTGGACAGGTTTCAGGTGGGCAGATAAGCACTGAACATCCCTGGCTGGCAATCCCACTGTCAGCACCCTCTTCCTGGTGCTTTAAAACAGGCAACACTTCAGGAGAGAACTGCTCTGGAAAAGCGAGCTGCCATCTAAACTGCCCTGAGAAGTGTTACATAAAACACTGACACTCCTCAGTACAGCCAAGCTGCAGCTTAGACCCCCCTGTGCTTCCTTTAAAAGCCAAAATTGCATTTCTGTAAGAGCCAAGGAAGTGCTGTGTAGAGCACAATTCCAACCAAGCTCCTTCACAGTAATTCCAGTAAGGATGTCAGCATTTAAAAAGCAATGCTGAGTTAAATTGTAACAACTACATCTTATATTGAAGAATCATTTGCAGTAGTTTCTTCAATATTTTTCCTTACCAATTTCCTAAAAAAAAAGAAACTCAACAAATACCAACCAGGAGCGTTAAATGTAAATCAAAGAATCATAATCAGGATCTTTAAGTTAACTAAATAAGAACCTTAAACACAGCACACTCAAAAAGAGATGATAAGGTATGAGTCAGACTATCAGATGACTCAACATTGCACTGAGTGGAAAGAAAAAATCTTTTTCCCAAGGTTTTGAAACATTCCATCAAAACACAACCCCTGCAAACAGGAGAGAACCCCCATTATTTCATCAGATCCAATCACTCACACTTAGCTGCTCATAAACCAAGCAGGTACAGGCAGCATTGCTGAGGCAGCTACACCTATTTCCTGTGAATAAACCCAATTACTGGAGCTGTTACGTAACCACCATTCAGAGAGAACTCTTGGTGCACGCAGCAGTGCAGGCCCAAAGCAGGAAGGGGGATGACTGATCACACGTGAGACTCCAGCTGTGCTCCAAGCACAGCTCTCCTCAGCCACCGCAGACCCCCGCACTCACCAGCGTAGGAGAGTCCAGCAATCTGCAGGTACAGGTCCTCTTCCGAGAAGCTCTCTGGCAGCATGAGGAAGGCTGCTGTCACTGCACTCTTCAGGTTGCTGATAAGAGCAGCTTGCAGTCTGCTGTTCTCATTCTGGGCCAGGATTTTCACCTGGAAAAGCAGAACCATTTGGAAGCAAGACCTCAGGAAAGTGCTACTGAAGCTGGAGCTAGAAATGTTATTTATTTTTCATGCCAGATTGAGTAAGCAATTAATTTAAGAGTAGCTCTTACTAGCATGGTACAACAAGTACTAGAGTATCCCCACTCTAGTATATCAGGGAAAGGAACATGATTTTAAGAATTAACACTGCTAGAAAAAGCTGTTTTCACACACAGGTTTGGAAGTGCTGTATGCACCAGACATGAGCTAATCTCTGAAGAGCTAGTCACCTTTTCATACTTGTAAATTTAAGATTAATCAGAACAGGAAATATGAATGCATCAACAGAAATACTTCACGTGTGATTGTGCAATAAGAAAAAAGACTATACTAAAAGAGAACAGAACAACAGACAGAGTTAAGTTTTCTTATTCATCTTCACTCCTTTTATTTTTTTAATAGAGGACTCCCCTATCAAATGCTTCAAGTAGTTTCTCAGCCAGAGGTTGTCCTAGAGGAAGCAGGGCTTTATTTTTGCACTTTGCACGAGCAGAATGTGAACTCGAGGGGATCTTCACTTACCCATGAGAAACAGATCACTTGAATGCCTCTACCTGCCACAAGAATTGTTTATTTTTAGGAAACATTGAAACTGTTCAAGACTGACTAGAGAATGCAGTCACCTAGGGTACGGAAATATACTGGAATAAAAAGCAGATATTTGGTAAGAACTGAAGATAGAAACCCTGGCAAATGAAGGGAAGTTAGTTTGAGAGATGGGTAACTGTGCACTTCCAGAAACAACTCCCTTAGGAATCCCTGCTTGGTGGGAGTTTGTCTTTTTCAAGCATTCTGGTTAGGCAATCCTGTCTTGCTTATAAAAGGCAGCTTTTTAATATTTGTTTACTCTACAACACCTTTGTGAACAAAGGTAGTCCTCTCAATTTTTCTCAAATCTCATCAAGCAATTCACTTAGATGTAAATTCCTAACTTGTTGCTACAGGGAAATGTAAGGGAAGTCAGAACAGAAAAATCTGTGGCACCCCAAGCAGTCACACAGGTGACTGCAATACCTTAGGATTGCCGTGGAAACATCAGCAAGTTATGGACATGTAAAGGACACCACAGTTAGAGCCTTTTAAAACATGAAAGTCAGCAGAGATGCTGTTCCTTCTCATGGAAGACACCAGCCTTACCTTAGAGAAGCAAAAGGAATAACCTCCTCCGTTTCCAAAAATCCCCCCTAATACAAAGCAGGATTTTTTAGGAAAGAAAATAACACAGCAGGCTTCAAAATCTGAATGCCTGAAACACTGATAGCATTTATGAACAAATTTCCAATGGTTCAGAGAGCTGCAAATCTCCCAGGAAGTCAGAGTGCAATGGTTATCCCCCTGGTAAAACATGAACATTGATTCTTGGACTAAATCTGACAGAGCACCACAGTTAAGGAAGGCTTTTTCACAGTACAGACAATCTATATTCACTGTACCACGTCACAGATGAAAGCAGCAGCAAATGCAGTTCCACTGAAAACCGCTATTCACTATTCACTGTTGAAGTGACATCCAGAATTCTCCCTTCAGTCATCTTTCTCAATGGATTAACTTTCCTCCTTCACAAAGATAACAGCTGCTCTAACCTGGATCGTGCTGTAATACATCTCTGGAGATAAAGCCAGCAGTCTGAGACAATCTATTCAAACTTTCACTCTAAGTTTTTTAGCTAAAAGCATAATTAACTTCTCTTCCAAGACCTGAAGAGATTTCTCCTCTAATTCTCCCCCTCCCCTCGTAACAAATTTTCCCTTAGCACTGCTGCCATCTGCTGAAAGCACATTGAGGCAGGCACAAGGGGGAAAGCAAAGATTACTTTTTATGGTCCAAATATGGAGGAGAGAAACCAACATGCAGAACCCATGGTTCGTTCAATTATGAGCCAGACAGTAACTGCACAGCAAAGCTGCTTTCATCTTTAAACTTTTCCATTCTTTAGCTATGTTAAATTTTGGCCACCCCTATAATCTGTTATAAAAGGCAAATAATACATTTAACATTAAAGGACCGTGGCATTAATAGAGTTATTCAAGATTTACTACAGGCAGAAAACTGTTATTAATATACTCCCCTTTAGGGGCTCTTTTTCCACAGAACATCATTAGGAAGTACATTTCACCTCCCCTCTGAGAGATTATCCCTCTGGGGCTACACCCCTAAATCAGGGCAGATTATTTGAGCACAGATCCCTGACAGATAAAGTTCAAACTCTAACTGATTATTTTCCAGCCCTGTAATTTCTTGCATTTCCAGAGAGAAAACTGAGCAGTTACCGGCTTTTGGAGGCGCCCAGCCACATAGAGAGTTTTCCAGTGAAACAAATCCTCAATCAGGGCATCAGTGCTAATTACTCCATATTTTATCATCTGGAAAAAAAGAAAGCAAAATAGAGGCTTTTGAAAAGACTTATACCTGCACCGTTTTCCCTACATGGAACTTACTACTTGTTATAAGTGCCCTCAATCCTAAGGCACACATACCTCCAACAAAAAACTGGAAAACATTTTTATGTCTTAATTAACACACGAGGTAAAAGAAAAGTCTCCTATTTACATTCCAGCTTCTGCAGGGAGAAAATGAAGGACATGAAACTAAGATCCTTTCTAAAATCAAAGTTGCAATTAAGTCAGCAGCCAAATATTACAATAACTGGAAAATCCACATTAACCTTTAAGATATTAAAAAAATCAAGCAGTAGTGTGTCAGAGACTTAAATTAAAACCTCCAGACATTTATGTATCCTGTTACTGGGAGATGGGATGTGCATCAGGGAGTTTTTTCTTTGCTTTTTGATGTTAAGAAAAAAAATTTGTGATTTTGCTGCTTATTTTACGTAACTGGAAAAAACATGGGACTTTCCACAGTTTGTTACCAATGTGCAGTACCTGAGTTTCCAAAGATTATCACCACAGCAAGGCAGGCAGCTCCAGAATTTCTGGATACCAAAAGACCACAGCCTGTGATATGACTGAGTCATCAGAACATAAGAGCAGGGCATAAAGAGCCAAGAAGACAATGTCATGGCAAATGCCACTGGTCCTTCAAATGAAATCCCAAATTCCTTTTTGCATCAAACAAATAAGGGTCAAACCCCAAAATCTCATACAGGGACAAGAACAGCAAGACTGACAGTGTTCCCCTCACTCCTCCCTACCAAACACAGAGGTGCAGGAACAGGACTTGCTGGACAAGAACCACTCACCAGAGTTACTGATTACACCCAAGCCTCACAGGTCAGGATATGAGACACTAAACAACACAAATGTCAATTCCAGCTTGCTGTTGTAACTTGCATTTTATGTCAAACAGCCCACTCTGCTGTTACTACATGGTCAGCTGCTGAAATGAAGCACCACCAAAACTTCACCACCACCAATACTGGCAGACAGAAAGCAGTAAGGAATATAAATCCAGTTCCTGAAATGCTTTAGCTAAAAGTTCCAAACACTGCTCACATTTTAAGGTGCAAGACAGGCTGCTCTGTTTGCTTTTTAATTAAAATGCTGTTAGTGAGGCATTTTGAGACATAAATATTGAAGATACCACGAGTTACTCTACAATTACAATCTGCAATATTTGCTTCCTGAAATCTGCTTTAAACTAATCATTTTAATACTTCACAGACATAAATATTTGACTTAATTCACTCAGACTGCTCGTACTTACCCTGCCATTGCATGGCACTAAGGTGTTGTAATAAATTCCTGCTCCATATCTCTGTACAGTACTTATCTTCTTGGGCCCAAAAAATTTAAGGAAGGAATAATGACTCCTGTTCTTTGACAAGTTCATCATATGCCAGGTCACAACATCATCAACAGCAAACACAAAGTCCAGCATATTTGTCTGAGGAGAACAAGAGGTGTGGTGGGGTGTAAACGTCAAGAAGAACCAATGTGATAATAATTTAAGATATACACAGTATCAAACTCCCAGCTAAATCTTTTTCATGAGTAAAAAAATAAAAATAAAACCTAAACCACAAGTATTAATTTCAGATACAGTTCAAAGGTTCCAGTGAAGTATGTTTATTGTCAAGTATATCAGACAGTCCAAAATTTTCCTGTCCTGGTCAAGACCAAACTTCAAAAAGTTTGGTCCCAAAGAGGGGAGCAGGTGTGAGATCTTCACACCCTCACTCGCAGCTCAGTGGAACAGCTTACAGTGCGAAGGAACAACACTTTTTGGCCACGAATGGGGGAATGTGGGCAGATAAAAGCACCACCCGAGAGCCGGCAGCAAGGAACTGCATTTCTAGTATATTCCTTTGCAGCGTATTCCTTTGCTTTTGTCAACAAAACCCAAAAAATAAATACAAACATTATTTCCAAGCTGTTGGCCCTCAGAAGATGAGGAAGCCTCCCCAGACTGCCATTTCAGTGCGGCAATATATTTGACATTCCCCTCATACTGTGCACAGCAGCTGGACGAGATGCAGTAACTCTCCAAAAGCAGCGGTAAACAAGCTGACACACACTCGATACACACCGGGCTGAGAGGGACCCCGAGCCCCCACAATGACAGCCCCACTGCCGGGGCCGCCCTGGGCTCGGCCCGGACACCCGCCCCCGCTATTCCCTGGGGGTTTGGGATCGCTGCCCCTCGCCGTTCACACGCCGCAGGGCCGGAGGCGGCTCCGCTACGCGGCGCGCCGCGGGGCCCGAGCCTCACCTCGCCGTGCTCGGCCGAGGCCCCCGCCTGCCGGAACACTCCGGAGCCGTAGGCGAAGGCCAGGCTGAGCTCCTGCGGGAACTGCGCCAGGACCCGGCGGAATTTCACGGCCGAGCTGGACAGCACGGGCAGCGCCATGGCCCCGGCCCCGGGCCCGCCCGGCCCAGCCCGGCGCTCCCGGCCCGGCGCTCCCGCCCACCGGCGGCGGGAGGAGAGGCCGCGCCGCGCCGCGCCCCCTACAGCCCGGCGTGGGCATGGCGGGCTGGCCGCGCCGCCGGGGCTGGGCTGGCCGGGGGGCGCTGGCAGAGACCCGCCCCGCGTCCCCTCGGTGCCCAGTGTCCCCTCAGTGCTCCACTCAATGTCTCCTCTGTGCTCCACTCAGTGTCCCCTCACTGTCCTCTCTGCTCCTCTCAGCGTCCCCTCAGTTCTCCACTCATGGTCCCCTCAGTGCTCCACTCAGTGTCCTCTCAGTGTCCTCTCAGCATCCTCCCAGTGCCCCACTCATGGTCCCCTCAGTGCTCCACTCAGTGTCCCCTCATGGTCCCTTCACGCTTCCCTCATGGTCCCCTCAGTGCTCTCCACAGGGCATCCCCAGCACCCCCTCAGGGTCCCCTCACTGTCCCTTCAGTACTCCCACAGGGTACCCCCAGGGTCCCCTCATTGTCCCCTCAGGGTCCCTTCAGGCTTCCCTGAGGGTCCTCGCAGTGCTCCTCACTGGGTACCCCCAGCATCAGGGTCCCCTCACTGTCCCCTCATGGTCCCTTCATGCTTCCCTCATGGTCCCCTCAGTGGTCTCCACAGGGTACCCCCAGCATCCCCTCAGGGTCCCCTCACTGTCCCCTCAGGGTCCCCTCGAGCTGTGCTGTCCCACCAAACCAGGCACAGTGAGGTGATGCTCAGCATGTGGGCCTAACATTTAGTCTTCCCCCCCACCGCTGCTTCATCTTAATTTTTTTAGGTCATCACAATTCTGTACCACTTCTTCCATTGTTTTTCCTCCTCTTTCTTTTTATTTTTATTTTTTCTCTAAATTCATATTTTATGCCGTTCCGAGGCTTTCCTCAGGACTTGTTGCCGGTGTTCCAGTTCTTCACACATCCCCCGGGGAACACAAACACAAACCCACGGCGTTTAATCATCGTGGTTGTGCTCAGGGCTGTCTCACGCTCTCCTCGTGCTGAGCCTGCCTTGGTTTGAATGTTCAAGTCCTACACAAGAAACCTGTCTGAGCTCCGAGGGAGCGCTAAATGTATAAACGAGCCTCGTGAAATTGAAGCGCGCCTTGTTCCCTCAGGATTTTACACTTCTCTGCATCTGGTACCCAAAAATCACATTTTATCTTCCCATGGTTTATGGCTTTCAAAATTCCCTACCTGAGGTCTGAGGGAAGGCTGGCAGTCAGAGATGAATTTATGCCCTCACTAAATTCAAAACACAGTAAGACACCGCTGGGCTCATAATAGCTGATGAAAACAAATATGAAACATTCTGTAACTTTGTTACACCCAAGAAAGTTTGATATACACAGCTAAGTCACCATCTATACAATTATTATTCTGAAGACAGATAAATATATTATACATGGGCATTGGGAATTTTGGGAGAGAGCGCCTGAAGGAAGAGAACAATCTTGTATTGGCAAACAATGTAAAACTTTAATGATGTGAGGCAGGTTCCACCATAAAACTGTGCCAGACCTCTATTTTTCTGAGCTTTTGTACATCAAATGATGCAGCTAAAGAGACCCTTCTGAATATTCACTTTCAGAGGAGAAACCATAGCATGCTAGGAGGAATGTGTTCATACTAGAAAAAATCACATTATAGCTAACAAATTTTTATTATTCTGAATAATAATGTCCCAAATGTGCAATTATGGCTGGGGTTTGGAGACTTTTGTTCTCCCTCAGGATTGTGATTCAGTGCCCAGTAATTTTAACTACTCATAAATCAGATCATACACCTTGTTCTTTCCTTAGTAAAAGTATTTTAGTTATTAAAGGTATTAATAACTATATATAGATGTAGCATTTAATATCACATTGATATTAAATGCTACATCTATATATATTAACTATAATTAATAATTATTATTTAAATACTTAATGGCACACAATATAAAGACCAGCAGACTTGTTGAGCCTACATTTTAAGTTTTTTCCTGATGCTTGGGTTAGCTAAAGCTTTTGCATTACTTTTTAGAGAATGATCTAACTCTATACAACAATTTATGGAAGTACACAGAGAAACATTTTGGTGAAATAAGTAACTGGTATTCCTTGGCTGGTTCTTTCTGTCATTATTTAGAAAACTTCATGCAAAAGCTTTCAAATATCTATACTGACTCACTGGTGTAGTTTGTTTTCTAAATTCTATTCACCTTCTTTGCTGCTATAAAGAAGTCTAATTTTATTAAATGAAAATAGAAGCTGAAGGCCTTTATATATATTGTTATGAATGGTATGGAACTAGAATACACTCATTCTAATAAATAATAAAAAAGGGTAAGTTTCTTTGAAAATTAACAGGCAGATGACCTTTCAGAAGGAAGTTATACTGTTGGATGACATTAAAAATTAAGGTAAGAAAGCAAACTTTTGAGAGGGTATGATATCTGGGGCATTTTCCCTTGGATATTTGTATATTAGAGAAATTCCGGGGAAGAAGTTGCTCAAATATTGCAGAATATCTCCATCTCCGCCTTTACCTTGCCAGCTCAAATTCTCTCCTTGAGGCTTCCAAGGTGGATTTTGTTAAAAAAACTTAAAGGTTCTGTTTTTCAACTTGTTCTTTGTGATTCTTCCTTAGCTGACTTTTGTGTATTTTAAGCTAAATCTAAAGTTTTTTCTTGCATCTACTGCTGACTTTTAAATTGATTTTGTTTCCAGCAGCACAGGCAGTGTCGAGATTAATTGTCATCTGGGATGAAACTCAGAGCTCATCTGAAAGTTTATGTAAAGCTCTGTTACGTCTCATACTGATTCTGAACTTGGCCTCTAATCTGTTTTTCAGTGGAAGTTTTGCTTTGCTAACTTTGGTAAGAAAGCCTACAAACACCAGAAGGTCTTCAGTCTGATTTTCACTCTCAGCCAGCACTGCTGATGAAGGGAGCAGTTTTCTTCTCCCTGCTTCTATCAGTGTGGGTGTTTGCGTGGCTGCAGATCAGAACAGATTGGGGAATTGATGTGGGTTAAAACCAACTGTTTGGGGTGGTTGGGGCTTTTTAAACCAGTCTAGTTTTAACCAGGTCACGGTGTGCTTCACCACACATGTTTGTGTTGGTATAAGCAGGAGAGATGAGAAGATCTCTTCTTCTGTTGACAGTGCTGGTTCAAAAGAGAAAAGTACTTGTTTGGGGTTTTTTTAACAGAATTTTCACACTTAAAATTTTGGCTGTGATTGATCCGTGCATTAAAGTTGTATAAGAAAGGAAACAGCATTTTGCATATTGCACAGTGTTTTGCTTTTGTTCATTCCCTTCCAGCCAAGTAAGTTCTAATACTTACTACAGAGAGCATGACAGAAGTGGGACCTTGAGCCTTTATTTAATTTTTTGGCAATAAAATGAACAGTTTGAATGGCCCCCACATCAATGCACGTGCAGGGGTTTTTTCTGCCTTACCACCCCTGTGCTCTCCAGCTCCTCAGAGGGAAGGAGTCTCTCAGAGCTTGATTCTGTTCAGTGTCTGAATATCTCTAAAAAGAGACATTTGCAGCTGACTGTATCTATTGCACAATAGAAAATTCCAGTTTGGGTCTTCACAGAGTTATCTTAATAACAGCATTTTCAATTAAAGCAATAGTTTCACTAACTTAGTATAGGAATGGGAGTACTCACAGTCTGTCAGTCCATGAGCTGGTGGCAGTCTGGAGCTGGGCTCAGCTCTGCTGTGTGGCTCTCTGTGCAGCTGGGGAATGCTGTGGTTTGGGAGTTGCTGGGTACCTCAGTGATGCTGGTTTTGCTGCCCCAGAGTCTGCTCAATCAGTTCTTCCTCTGCTCTTACCTCGTGGCTCTTCCTCCAACAAAACTGACAACTTTGTGCCCTTGGGTTTTGCAGTAGTGGGGAATCTGTCCTACTTTTCCACAGCATGTGTCTGTTTGGTGGAGGTGGCAGACTCCTGTGAGTGTAGAGTTGTTTCTTGCCTGTAACCGTTAAAAAATTCATTTTCATAAAGTAGTGGCAGCATCTGGAATCAGCAACTCATGCTGTTTGTTTGAAATTTCTGTGTGCTTCTGTGATTGCACTATTTGAAATTCTCCATCACTCCATCTTTTATTTATTTAAAGCATGGGTTCTGGTAATTGTCACTGGTGCAGCTGCACACACATCTGACTTGGATTGCTGTTTTTATATGCTAACAACTAAACACCACCAGGTGTCCTCTGTCTCTCTACCAGATCTGAATTACCTCCTGGAGATCCTCCTCTGCATTGGAAAATACCAATTTTAAACAAACCCCAGGGGTGAGGGGCAGCACACAACCCTTTTCCTCAGCTTTGAAGAAGTTGTGGTGAGCCGCCACTTGGGAGCGTCAGGGGATTTGCACTGTGTGTTACATTTTTGTAGCATAGCTCTCCCCCTGGCCCCTACAAGCTTTTTTGTAACCCTGTGGCTCAATGTCCAAGAGATCATTTTCCAGCAAGGACAGAGAAGTAGCTGGGTATATCCAGGTATCTCTTCCAGCAAGGACAGAGAGGTAGCTGGCTATTTCCAGGTGTCTCTTCCAGACCTGTTGCTGGAAGCAGCTCAGCCATCACCACACACGGGCTCACCCTGCTCTTATCCAGAGTTTATTAGCAGGAGCAGTTAGTATCGATCTACAAATGGATTTTTGCTAGAATAGTAGTCAAGATAATTGAAATAAAAATGAGCATAAAAGTTGGTAAATACTGAAACTTGTGTGTTTTCTTCTTGCCTTGGTCCTGTCTCCTTGCTTGTTCTAGTCAGGAAGGGATTTCTGTGACAGACTGGCAATGTGTGAGAGAACATATTTTTACACAGCAGCACATCCTTCTGCGGGATGCAATAAAGCACCAGGAGATGAAAATTGTGCTGTGTCCTTGCAGGTGGTGCACTGCAGGCTGCTCCATCCCAGGCCAGGGAGATTTATTTTGTCGCCAGCAACTTCTGAGCTCAGGAAAATGACCTCTCTCTATGGCAGCAGCTGAAATCCCCTGGGAGCTCCTGTTT